TTGCAGGAGTATATATATGTATATATACACACCACTAGTATGTTTATTTAGGACCACATATGAAAAAAGATATCCATATTGCGTGTGTATATATATATATATATAGTCCTAACTACAAATATATATTCAGTCTGTTCAAATTTATTCGATCACATTTTATTTTATAAAAATTAAATTTTTTAATTTCTAAAATTAAAGAACGAATAAGATTCTAACATATTAAATTTTTGATGTTCGAACATTGAATGTTATAATTTTTCTCATAAAAGATACATTTAAAAATATTAATCAAAATTTATACCATTTAATAATAAAATAAAATGCGTAAGTGAAGGGAATAGAAAATGAGTGGTGAACTGCCAAAACTCTTTGAGTGTACTTTTGGGAAAGCACGCAAGTGATTGCGAATTGGCGGTAACTTTTGCATTTATGTAATGCAAATATGAGCTCAAAAACACAGGCACTCATCTTTTTAAACCACCCTTATATAGTCTGTTTAGCATTTTAATTTAATTAATAGTAAAAGATAGTATTGTGCTTATACTAGCCGTTGGTTTTTTCCTTCTTATCATGCATGTGCACCTTTATGACGCATACACAAAACAAATTATTATTGTCCTAGTGCAACTTTCATATACAATAAATATGAAAAATATATTTATATGTTATTGTTATAGTTTACATAATTGTGCTCTATAACAAACATAAATATATATATTTCATTATATATATACAAAAGAAAGTATTTGTATATTCTGTTTCTGTTTCAGTATACATATACAAAAAAAGTATAAATTATATTTGTATAAAGAAAGAAAGACAAAAGAAAAATAGGGCAAGGAAAGATGATATTTGTATAATCATAAGTGTATACATGATGAAAATATATGTATCTCTATCTGTATATATAAGTTTCTCTCGTTTTATACAGATACAAATGCAGTATATATCCATACCATTTTAAAGATATGTAATATTCCTTGTACCAGCAATTTTAATTTGGTCTTAGGAACATAACATTGTTTGACTTATGGAAAATCACTTTTTTCCAGTTTATTGATAAATAATAAAAAGAAGCCCCGTTAAAAGTAGTAGTAGTAATAATAATACTGTGATTAAGAGTAATATATAATAAGGATGCATGTGGGCTACATCATTTTCTTATTCTGCTTGAACTCACTAGCCTTCATCATTGCTCTTAATTATAGTAGATGGAAAAAATAAAATATGCGATCGTACGTAAAATTACTTTTTTTTTCACACAATAATTGAGTAATATTTCACTCAAATAAAATATCGTATCGTATCACATTCGATCAAATATCACATTCCACTAAATGTAATAGGGGGTGATTTATATATAGCTATAGAAAAAATGAATTACGAGTAATTGAGTAAAAAAAATCAAATAATAAATTGATTTAGTGATACAACTACCAAAGAAGGTGATTAATATGCTGGTCAGTAAGTATATATATAGTTCTCTATTTCATGTATTAGGATGTTTCGTTATTATTTCTCCTTTTGTTGGATTTGGAAAGAAAATAGTACTACTGCTATCAAATATTCATAAAATCCAAAAAAGAAATAAATAAAATTAGTGTATTCCCCAATGAAGGAAAAAGACATAAATAAAATGAAATTAAATGGCAGTCGTGTGTGTGATTGCAAGAAAACAAAAGGAAAATCTTTAGAGACATCCGACCAAATGTGGTGGATATATCTTTCTCAAGATTGACTCTAAAATCTCTGTCACCTTAAATAAATTATCTTTGCCTAGATCTTATTGATGCAAAACTATAATAACTACTGTATAATTAATAATAAAAAGAATAAAACTAATATTACAAAAATAATTATTGATTTTCCTCAGTATACTACTGAATATATACGGGGAGAAACTAATATGATGAAAAGTAGAATTAAATAGAGATACTAAATAATAAAAACTATTTTTTTTAATTAATATTATTTTAATGATGACCAAAAAAATATGAGAGGTAAAATGATCCAAAGAACTACTACTTATTTGCAAAATAAATTGTTATTACAAATAAACTACGATGTAACAAAGATTTTTATTATTTGTGAGTATTATCTTGTTCCTTCGTTGATTCTTCTCTATAGTAACATATTTATTGCAACGTAGAAACGTCAGATTACATTTCCTTGTGATTATATAATTAGTAGGATATTAAAAATATCTCTTAAAGAAGGCAATATATATATACCCCTTTAATGAATACAAATTAAAATTTAAAAAAATATAATTTTTAAAAATCAAAATCGAACATAACTTATAAAATTAGCGCAAGAGAAAAAGAAAGGAAAGAGATTCCTCACACGATGTTAGAATTTAAATTTAGCAATGGAGCATTATCATAGGAAAGTGTAAAAAGCAAAGAATATGGCATGTCAGAAAAAAAATATTATAAGTAATTTTATTTTTGGTGACATTGGAAGAAGAGGTACTTGGAGTTTGGGACATGGGCATGTGAGAGGTTTCGAGACCAAAAATTGAAAAAAAAATATACTTTTTAATTTTTTGGATAATAGAAAAAGGAATGTGGTCACATTTTGTCCATAAGGGGTGCCCATTTTATTGATTGGACTACTCCATGCCATATATATGCGTTAAGAAAATATTAAGATATCATTATTTGAGGGTCCATTTAATCAAGTTTTAGAGTTTTAATATTTAATTTGACTTATTTTAATATTTATTACACAAAAAGTACTTTATTGCTATACTCAATATTTATCAAAAGTCATATCAAAATGACTACAAAAGTTTATAGGGGATCAACTTTTTTTTTTTGGCTCTTGAGAGCAACAAGTGACGCTAATTATAAGTAGCTAATTACATAAATGTAAAACTAATTGATGATAACTTCAAATATTTATTATTTTATTGTTATCAAACTATTAAAAAAGATCATTAAGTTTTATCATTGAGAGAAACTGAATAATTATTCACATGTTAAGTAAAAATCACGCTAAAATATTCTTTCTTTATATAATTAAATTTATCAGCAATATTATTGATTGAAAATTATAAAGTTTTCAGTTTAATTATTCGTAGCTGTACATAGATTACTCGTGAAACTAATTGACATAGAGAAAAAAAAAGTAATACTTAAAATTTAAAAGCTAAGGGAAAGTCTAATGATTTAATAGAGGCGCAGTCCTTGCCCCAATATTAGAAGCCATTAGTTACCCATGTGCCACCCCACAGTATGGCCTACTACTTTAACTCATATCAGTGTCGAGTCATGTAAAGTCGAGGATTCATTAGAATTTTTTTTATTTTTTTATAAAAAAATTAGATTATTTTTATAGGATTAGATTTATCTTTTATATATATACACATTAATGTTAAACTTTTTTGGAGTTCTTTAATATTGTATTTTTAAATTTATCTTATATATATATACACATTAGATATTGAACCTCTTTTAATTTTTATCGATATTGTATTTTTAATCCTTTTAGTATCCCAGCACTAACTCATACAGTGGCAAGAGAATTACTTACTTTATGATAAAACAGTCAAATTAACTCTGTAGGAGCTGTTTGATTCTATAAGAAATATCTTATACATATATTAAAAGTTATATTAGTTTTATTATGTTTAGCAGAAGTCTTGTGTTAGGTATAAAAGTTAACATAACTTATACCATGTTTAATTGGTAAAAATTTAAATATTGTATAAAAGTTATTCATGTATTAATTTATATGGTGTTTTGTTGTATTTTTTATATTAATACCAACACAATTTATGAGGAAATCTATGTATAAAGTTATGCAGGGTAGAAGGTGAAATAAGTTATGTGAGTATTAGTTATACATGTATTAAAATAATAAATTACACATTTACTTTATAAATTTATTTTATTTTTTAATTGGCAACTTTACTGTTTTCTATATATGTTTGTTTTTTATAGATCATTTTTTTTGGGAAAAAGGTCTGATATATCTATCAATTTTGTCATTTGGAGCTGATATACCACTCGTTATAAAAGTGGCTCATATATGCCCTTAGCGTTATACAAACGACTCACATATACCCCTGCCGTTACAAAATGGCTCACATATACCCTTCATTTAACGGAAGTTAAAAACTAGTTTTAAATTTATATTTATTACTTCTACTTTTTTTAAAAAAA